TCTTGTTTAATTATTATAAACTATAATTTTTATTTGTTGAGATTTGAAAATATTATTTTTTATAATTTTTGATAATTTTTATAAACTTTTTAGATCATTTTATATTTTTTTATTATTAAATTTATTTTTTATCTTAATTATTAAATTCATATTTTTATTTTTTTATTAAACACACACTATTTATCTATTGCAACCACCATGCCATCCACTACGTTACTATAGCGGATTTCGATCTTTTTACTATTTGCTGCTATGCCCTGTTGATAACACTACTACAATCTTTGAACAAAAAAAAAAAACACTTTTTTAGGTTGAGCGGAAGACTTAAAACTTGGAAGGTCCAACCTCAATCATTATTCTAAGATTCTATTCTATAGACTTTTAGGCAGTGCACCCGAATCCAATTAAAAATTATTTAAAAAGTTTCTCAGAAAAAAATACCGGGTAAAAATTTGGATGCAAATTTTAATCGGCGGGCAATAATTACCGCCGTCCCCAAAAAAACAAGGGAGAGTGGGATTCTGCGTTGTTGGGGAGACCCGCGGACACGGACAAACAAGCCAATCTTTATTTTAATCAATAAAAATTAAAAATTAAATATAATATATAAAATTTATATGTAAATAATTTTTTATTCAGATTAAATAGTTTTGATATTGTTTTTTTTTTTTTTTGACTAGGTAGATGGTTAGGAAGTTAGTAGAGTTAGTTTGTTAGCCGCTGAAATTTTTGCAAGAAAGTAAACGTTCCACCCCCTCTTTTGATATTGTATTAAAAATAAAAGCCAAAATAATGTCATTATTACTTTAAAAACTAAGGCATGGTAGCAGTTTTAAATTTTTGTTTTGATTTTTAAAAATTTATAAATTTTAAAATAAAATTAAAAAAAATTATGAATTAGTTAAATTTAGAGTTTTAAATATTTATTTTAAATTTTTATGCTTAATAAGTTAATAATTTTTAATTTTAATTTTTAATGATTAGTTTTAATAATTTAAATTTAAAAAATAAAATTAAAAATTAAAAACAAAATTCAACTTAAAATATTTTAATTTTTTAAAATAAGAATCTATTAAAAAGCCAACTAATTTTTTTGCGATTGGCCGGTAAACACTTCTTCCAATTTGCAATTTAAAATAATAAAAAAAAAAAAATTCAGCTAACAGGAGTGTTTCTTCAAACTTATTTTCCCCATGCTTTCGCTTGATTTCTTCCTCAGCTTCTCTGAAATCACATTCACTTCATAGCTTTTTACGTGACATTTTCAGGAAAAAAACAAGTTTAAAGGCAGGAGGAAACTTCCTGCGCAAAGAAGGAAGGTTTCCCAGCAAATGGCGAAGAGAAAACGGCCGGAAAACGGTGGTCCAGGGATTACAAGAGACGAAGGTGAAAGCCAGTCGCCGTCGAGTCAGCACAACGAAGGTGGAGAGGAGGCTTCTCAGATCAAAATATCTTCAAGTCGTCAACAAGATCAGCGGTATCCTTCTCAAAAAAAAAAAAAAAAAGTTTCTCGAATTCTATTATTTACTCGATTTTTCAAAGTTTGTATATTTATTTTATATTTGCAGATGTAAGGGATAATATAACAGGTGCTGATTCTGATAACAATGTAAATAAAATTTTATATTTATTTTGAATTTTAATAGTTATAATGTGACGTAAGATTGTAAGTTTACTATTATTATAACGTTATATTAAAAAAATAAATATATACAATATCATAAATAAATTTTTTAATAAAAAGAATTAAAATTATATAATAACACATTATGTTTAAGTTACAGTGTAAAGGTTACAATATTACATGATATTATAATTATAGTATTTTCTTAATTTGACTTTCGGAACTTAATTTATAGCACAAATTGCAAAAATCTATTCTTGTTCATTTCTATGTCCATTTTAACTAATTTGTATGCTGTTTGAGATTTCAGTTAGAAAGCCAAGGGGACAAGTTGCAGATGCATATGCGCTCCTAGACATTACTAATGCACTGGTCACATCTGTTAAGTCACAGTCCAACCATGGAATTAGTATAGCAGACTTCATCACTTGTTTGATTACAGATTTTGGAAAATGTGGTATGACACTAGTTTCCCGGGAGAATGAGCTGATATCATTTAATTGGCAAGGTATAGGGCTGCAAGTTTCCCCTATCTTGAGAATGTGCAAAGGGGTTTGCACTTTCTCATATACCCATTTGATGGTTCAGCTAATACTTCATGATTGATTGCTTATTGGTTGTTTATGCATTTATGTTGTGTTATTTGTTTAAGGCTTGGACCCATGAACACTGAAGTAATGCAAAGAAAACCAGCAGTTCATAGGAAGTGCGCTGCGAGGCCTACTCAGACAGCTTGGCTTGAAGAGGTGATTTTATCCTTTATTTTATATTAGGTTAGGAGAGTTGTCCAAAGATAGCTTTGATGATGGTAATATTTTGGTCATGATTGTAAAACTTGCTCTCAACTTCATGTCATTGGCCCCAATTAAAGTTGGAGTTGATGCATATAAAGTGATTTTCTGTATTGATTATGAGTCATGTGAATTTGAAATCTAATGATCCATAACAGTTTCAACTTTCAAGTCAACCATAACATTTGTGAAGTATTGGTCTACTTACAATTCTCCAACAACAATATTTGCTCAAATAGTTTCGTGGCTTTTCTGTAACAGCTAAATAATGCTGGTGCTGATGAGGAAACAGATACTAATAGAAACATGGCAAAAATGTCTGAGGTCTTGAGGAGGAAAGGGGTGAAACTTGAAAATCTGATTCTGAACAGAAACTCTTTTGCACAGTGGAGAATTTATTTGCTCTGTCATTCTGAGTCAAAGATGGACGAGCTGAAGTAAGTCCTGGATGAATCTGGTTCTCATTTTGTTTGTAAGTTTGTTTCAAGACAATCAACATGGAATTCTGCTTAAATTGTACTTGAATTTACCAAATTTGTGGTGCTTTTGGTTCATGTACTTGCAGTCTTGTACTGTTGTTTTTCTTTTTCTTTCTTTCTTTGATGAGTACAAAATGTTCATGTACTCCTACTGTTGTCTCCAGCTGCACAATCTGTAATGTCGGGTGAGGCTTCTTATGGGTATTTTGTATTACTGTTTAATTTCAAGGACTGGAAGTTAATGCTAATTACCATGAGATGAGTAAATGGCAAAATGGTTTCAGTTGGCAACAATAAACTACTCTTTTTATTGCATTTTAAAGACTAGTTTATGTATTTTTTTCCTACTAATTAAAATTCTGCACAAAACGGCTTTAAGATCATGTCTGATGTAGTTCCATTGGGTGAGGAGGTGATGCCACACAGGAAAGTCTCAGACGGTTTCTTCCCAAACTCAACCAGACAACTCACAGCGATTAACTACGACACTAATCAAGAAATCATCGAAAAATGCTAGCCTGACCTATGAAGAAGATACCAGTGTAGAAGATTCACCTGAAACTGATGGTGCTACACAGAACTTGGGCATCCGCAGGTGTAGGGGGTAAGATCAAATGAGAAAGTGCTCCTGGGAAAATTATTATCATGTGTAAACATTTTGTATTCTGTGGTGACTGTAAATTAGTGCAGGTAAACCATACACATGCTTGTTGGTTTCTCAATGTTTATTCTTGGATTTATTTTAAGAAATTTTGCAGTTGAATACAGACATGCTAGTACATACTCGATGGTCTCAATCCAAAACTTTCAGGGAAAAGAAAAAACAAGATTTTCTCTGCAATAAGTTATCAGAGGTAAATGCTGACTAAGCCAAATGTTACGCATATGGTTTTGCAATTGATCTCCCTGAAGCTAACCCTAGTGCTTCTCGCCTGGTATGTTGAGGTCTGTGAATATGGGACTGTCGACTCCAACACCCATCGCATTCAGACCATTGTCAACATATATAACAGCACCAGTGATGGCAGAAGCCAAAGGTGATGCCAAGAATGCAGCAGTGTTCCCTACCTCCTCTGTTTCATCAATTTGTTTATGTCAGTAATCATGATCAATAAAATAGTGAATAGAAGAAATAAAAACATTTCAAAGTTGTTGATGGAAATCGTTACCAGCAGATAGTTCTTTCTGGAGAGGTGCATTTGCCAATGAATAATCGATCATCATATCAATAAACCCAATTGCTTTTGCAGCACGACTTCTTAGAGGACCTGTTGGTCAAAGAAACACAAAAGGATGTAATTCTGTAATGTAATGTGGTAGGAGACAATTTTTGCAACAGAATACAAACCATAGACATCAGACAATAGTTAGGTTCAGATCATATCCATATATTCTAGTTTGAAACTTGATGACAATCCTTGTTAGGGTATATTATTCAAGAAAATGAAAGGACATACCAGCAGATATAGTGTTGACCCTGATTTTATGTTTTCTTCCTGCCTCGAATGCAAGAACCTAACATCAAGTGAAATAGGTTGAAACATACCGAATAAGAATGTTGAATTTGGGAAAAAAAATACCAGCTATCAAATGAGGAAAAAAAAAGGTACATAGCACATGAAATAACTCACTCTAGTATCACTTTCTAATGCGGCTTTAGCAGAACTCATCCCTCCACCATATCTGCACATTAGATTGTTCGAGAATGTTACC